TCAGTACAGTAAGTCCCCTACATACAAACCTCCAAGTTGTGAACATTCAAGGATGCAAACATGTCCCTGTATGCCAGCTGTTGTACTGGACTACTGTACTTTTCAAAGTACTGACTATAAGAGTAAAAATATTTTCTGTGTTCATTTGTTTTTCATGTCTCACTTGTATAAAAAGTGTTATGAATCTATTACAGTCCAGTACTATATAGTCAATTGTGTTAGTCGGATATCTAGGTTAACTTTGTTGGACTTAAGAGCAAATTGGACTTAGAAACACACTCTTGGAATGGAACTCATTCATATATAGGGGATTTAACTAGTACGGGAGACCCAGAAAAGCAGAGGGGAGAAGGGGTGGATGGCCGGGGTTTTCTACAAGGGAGGGGAGAAGCAAAGCCCCTGGGGCCTGGGACAGGAAGTAGCAGAATGGGCAGCTGTCCCTGGAGACGTTGGTAAAGGAAGGCTGAGGAGCCCTCAGTGAGGGAAGGCTGAGGTCTAGGGTGTTGTCTGCCTTTCGCGGGGCCCCAGAGGTGGCACTGAGGAAGAATGGGAGGGAATCCCATGAGTGGTGAGAGGTGAGGTCAGCAGAAAGGACGTGAAACAAGGCAGGGCTGAGGGTAAGGAAACATGTCCTGAGAGGTTCGCGTTTCAGCTGGAGGACAAGGGCTACAGGAACATGAGTCATCCCAGGGTTAAAAGGCTCTGAATTCAAGATGAAATGCTGGGGTAAGGTTGTTCCCTTCCTGGAGGCAGGAGAGGTGGGGATAGTGGGCATGAGAGGCCTGATGCGGATGAAAGGGTGGGAGGGGGCTGCTGCAGCTGCCTGGATCAATTCCCCTGGCCTGTACCCGGGAGTACCGTGTTTTATGACTGTGTCTTCATTTCCTGAATGACTTAAATACTAAGCAGTTACTTAAAAGCGCTGAAGGAGGAGGCTCAGGTTTCTAATGACCTTCTGTCAACATGACTAATGTTGCCCTGGGACATCTTTCCCCTCAGTTTTGTATGAAGCTCACTTTCCTCTTCACCCAGATTTCTCTCAGAGAGGGGGCTTCTCTGACCCCTGTGCCCAAAAGAGCCCTTCGTATCACTTGCTAATTGTCTTATCCTGCTTTATTTTCTTCATCCTGCTTATGTCCACCTGATACCTTCTATATTTGTTTAATAGTTAACTGTCATCTCCAGTTCCCTGGTGGCTCAGTGCAGGCTCATTGCAATGCAGGCTCTGCCTGCCAATGCAGGAGATGTGGGTTCGATCCCTAGGGGTCAGGAAGTTCTCCTGGAGGAGGAAATGGCAACCCACTCCAGTATCCTTGCCTGGAAAATTCCATGGACAGAGGAGCCTGGTGGACTACAAGTCCATAGAGGGTCACAAAGAGTCAGACATGACTAAGTGGCGGAGCTCACTGTCTCCACTAGACTGTCAGCCTCCTGGAGTCGAGAGCTTTCTCTCCTTCTTGGTCCTCTTTCCCAGGGCTCAGAGCAGAGTTCAGTGAATATTTGTGAAAAAAATGGATGGATGAATGGGAATGGTGAGCACAGATGGAGTGGCCTTCTGGCTGTTTACAGGCTCTGAGGGATTTCATCTCTCAATTAGAAGTTGTTGCCCTGTTGATGGTTCTGTTAACCCCGTGAGTAGTCTCTCTGCACCCTGCCTCCTAAGCAAAAGTGAGTCGCCTAAAATTCACACCCATGCCGTCTCTTTCAAAGTTTTATACAATTAAATCTGACTGCTAGAAACTTGGCTGCTGGTTTTGGCCACTCCTTCCCCCCATCTTGCCATTCCTTCTTAACTGCCTTTTCTCATATCGGCCAAGAGATACATTATAGTCAAAAAGTCAAAACCCTACCATGACCCATTACCAGGACTTGAAGTTTTTAATAACTAAGACTGTCAGACAACCTCCTCTCCCCTAAGAGCCCAGGTTGAGCACAAGTTGTGGGCAGACTGATAACTGAACATGTGATTTTTTTTAAAAATTTATTTATTTTTGGCTGTGTTAGGTCTTCATTTCTGTACAGTCATTTCTCTTATTGCAGCAAGTGGGGGCTACTCCCTGGCTGCGATGCACAAGCCTCTCATTGTCATGGCTTCTCTTGTTTGGAGCACAGGCTCTAGGCTGCCATGGGCTTAGTTGCAAGCATACGGGGTCAGTAGTTGTGGCTCCTGGGCTCTAGAGCATAGGCTCAGTAGTTGTGACACATGCCTTGCTCCGAGGCATGTGGGATCTTCTTGGATCAGGGATCAAACCCATGTCTCCTGCATTGGCGGGTGAATTCTTCACCACTGAGCCACCAAGCAAGCCCCTTAAATTTTATCTTTTTGGCCACACCACACTGCATGTGGGATCTTAATTCCCCAACCAGGTATCAAACCCACGCCCCCTGCAGTGGAAGCTCAGAGTGTTAACCACTGCACTGCCAGGGAAGTTCGAACTTCTGATTCTATGATAGCAGGTAAAGGGAAACAGGGGAGGAGCTACCTTCAGAAAGGCTCTGAGGAGGATGATCATCCCATCCTTGAGGAATGATATCTGAATATGAAGTTGAAGGACGAGCAGGAGTTAACTGAGCGAGGAAGGGTTGGGTAAAAGTATCTCAGAGACTAGAAAAGTGGGACCTAGTGGAAGAACGGGAAATGCCAGGTGCCTGGAAACGGAGCAGGAGGTGGGAGTCGTGGGTAAAGCTCGAGCTGCAGCAAGAGATAAGCAGAGTGGACTCCCAGCTCCCACACTCCTAGCTGTGCAACTCTGGGCAAGTTAATGATCCCATGAAAGGATCCATTTCCTTATGGCAGAGAGCAGTAGTCTCTCGGTGAGCTTCAAGGATGAGGCAGTAAAGGCCAAACACTTAGCAGAGTGCCTGCCACACTGACTGTTCATTGTATGTTGTGCTCTTGTGCTACCCAGGCCTGCACTAGTGGGGAGGTGCCCAGAGCATGCGGCGTGTTCAACAGACATGTGAAGGTACTGCAGGCTCATGGAGGCAGCAGTTCTGTCTCCAACCACCCAACTCTTCACCACCAAGAAGAGTTGCTAGAAGTTCCTCTTGCTAGAGGTTTGGTCCTTTCCCAGGCCCATTCCTCTTGCTAGAGGTTCAGTCCTTTCCCAGGCCCCCACTGGAAGCAGTTAATAGTGTAACCCTCCAGAAATGTAAGTGCCTTTACCTGCATATGGCATCTGGTTCCATTACTTCATGGCAAATAGATGGGAAAACAGTGGGAACAGTGACAGACTTAATTTTTTTGTGCTCCAAAATCACTGCAGATGGTGACTGCAGCCATGAAATTAAAAGATGCTTGCTCCTTGGAAAAAAAGCTGTGAACAACCTAGACAGCATATTAAAAAGCAGAGACATTACTTTGTCAACAAAGGTCCATCTAGTCAAAGCTATGGTTTTTCCAGTAGTCATGTATGGATGTGAGAGTTGGATTATAAAGAAAGCTGAGCACCAAAGAACTGATGCTTTTCAACTGTGGTGTTGGAGAAGACTCTTGAGAGTCCCTTGGACTGCAAGGAGATCCACCCAGTCCATTCTAAAGGAAATAAATCCTGAATATTTGTTGGAAGGACTGATGCTAAAGCTGAAATTCCAATACTTTGGCCACCTCATGCGAAGAACTGACTCATTGGAAAAGACCCTGAAGCTGGGAAAGATCGAAGGCAGGAGGCGAAGGGAACGACAGAGGATGAGATGGTTGGATGGTATCACTGACTCAATGAACATGAGTTTGAGTAAACTCTGGGAGTTGGTGATGGACAGGGAGGCCTAGCGTGCTGTAGTCCATGGGATTGTAAAGAGTTGGACACGACTGAGCGACTGAACTTAACTGATGGGCTTTGCTGGTGGCTTAGACAGTAAAGAATCCGCCTGCAATGCAGGAGACCTGTGTTCGATCCCTGGGTCAGGAAAATCCCCTGGAGAAGGGAATGGCAATCCACTCCAGCATTCTTGCCTGGAGAATCCCATGGACAGAGGAGCCTGGCGGGTTACAGTCCATGGAGTTGCAAAGAGTCAGACATGACTGAATGACTAACACTTTCACTTTTCATCCACATATATAACTACATCCAGATCTGTTTTTCTATAATTTATCTCCTTTCAAGTTTATACCCATGTGATCATATTATAGTGGTTCTTTTTCACCTTGCTTTTCTTTTCTTTTTTTTATTTTTTTTTATTTTTATTTTTTTCTAAAATTCACCTTGCTTTTCAAAATCAATTTATCTTAAAGAATGTGCCACAACAGTACATTCAGACAGTTATTATTCTTTTAAACATCTGCATAGTTTTCCATTATATGGATGAGCCATAATTTAACCAGTCTTCTACCCACTGACATTTAGGTTATTCCAGAATTTCTTTTTGTATTACAAATAATGTTGCAATAAACCCTTGAACATATACATGCTGCATGTTTGTGAAGCGGTAAACTTGCATAGGTGAACTGGCTGTGCTAAAGGGTGTTTGCATTTAAACTTAGGTAGCTGTGTGGCTCCATCCACTTTCTAGGTGCTCAGAGGGAGCTGGGCTGCAGTGCTGGACACAGGATTCTTTCTGAGTAGCATCCAACCAAACAAGATTGGAAGCCCAAATGTAATACCCGATGTTTTTCAGCAAGATTACAGTGGTCTAGATTGAAAATTATTCCCACAGGTGTGTGTGTGTGTGTGTATGTATACACACATATATATACACGTATGTGTGTATATATATATGTATATGTATACAAATACTAAGTCCAAGAAGTTTCACAGACCACATTGTGTTTATAGATGTATTTGAGGAACATGGATATAAGAATTGGATGAAGTATGTAGTCTCTGCATTGCTCTAAGAGCTGGAGGATGAATGTTCTTGGAACATGAGTACTGAAACAATGAAATGGAACTGGATGTATGGTAGGGTTGCCAAAGAGAGCCTGATGACACTGGGTGGGTTGCTATGACCACAGAGGAGGATACATTCTCTTATGTATATTTCTGACCCTTCAATCAGGACAGAGGGATCTCTTATCTCCCATAACTAGACCTTATCAAGTTGTCAACAGATTACTATACCTGAAGAAAATCAGCCAGCCAGTAGATGGAAGGTCCAAGAAACAGATTTCTGAGATCTTATTGACTTATCTCCATATAGCATATAATTTTTGTGAGTTCTTCAGGGTGTTGCCACAACTTTTCAAATTGGTAAAATAATTTTATTTCTTGGCCATGCTGCTTATGGGATCTTAGTTTTCTGACAAGGGACTGTACCCATGCTCCCTGGAGTGGAAGCACAGTCCTAACCACTGGACTGCCAGGGAATGGGAATTCCCAAAATTATTTTATAAAAAGCACTATTCTGTCTATATCCTAGTATAAAATGCTATAAGATATAGACTTAAGTGAAAAAAGCAAGATGAATTAAAGCATGTATGGTATGCTACAATTTGTCTAAAAAAATATGCAGTACTTATTTTTTAATGCAATAAGATAAAAGATATAAGATTGAAAATGAAATAACGCTTATAATGAATAAAGTGTATAATGTGATTGTGTACAAGGACATTTAGTCCTTTGCCTAAAGGAATCTCCAAGTAAACTACTAGAACTAATAAGTAAATTTAGTCAAATCAGAAGACAAAGCGCCAACATACCAAAACATCAAAAGGCCAATAGGCAAATGAAAAGATAGTGAACATCATTAGTCATCAAGAAAATAAAAATTACAATAAGAAAATACCACCACCTCTTTTCCTCCCTGGCTGCTTGAAGATCAGCCGCCATCATGAACGACACAGTAACTATCCGGACTAGGAAGTTCATGACCAACCAACTGATTCAGTGGAAACAAATGGTCATTGATGTTCTTCACCCTGGAAAGGCAACAGTACCTAAAACAGAAATTTGGGAAAAACTGGCCAAAATGTACAAGACCACACCAGATGTCATCTTTGTATTTGGATTCAGAACCCATTTTGGTGGTGGCAAGACAACTGGCTTCAGCATGATTTACGATTCCTTGGATTACGCGAAGAAGAATGAGCCCAAACATAGGCTTGCTAGACATGGCCTGTATGAGAAGAAAAAGACCTCAAGAAAACAACGAAAGGAACGCAAGAACAGAATGAAGAAAGTCAGGGGGACTGCAAAGGCCAATGTTGGTGCTGGCAAAAAGTGAGCTGGAGGTTGGACAACAGAAGAAGTAAAGATTCTGCAGTGACTGTATCTGTGGTGCTTGTGCAGATTTTTCATGAAAGAATAAACTAAGACATTTTACAAAAAAAAAAGAAAGAAAATACCACCTATCCATCCTAATGGCTAAAATTTTTAAAACCGAGTTGACCACCAAGTGCTAGCTAAGATGAGGCGCAATAGGAACACTTATCCACTTCTGGTGGAAATAAGAATGATACAACCATTTGGGAAATTAGCTGTTTCTAACAAATTTATGTAACTTCCTTGTAGCTAGTAGTGTGCTTGTAAACCTTTAACAACTGGTTTGGGGGTGGAGGAGAAGGAAGTCCTGATTTATAGCATTTGCCTATTTCCATGGTGTAAATATTTCCCCCTTGGGATAAATATTTCCCCCTTGGCTGATTTCAAGCTACCAATGGGGAATCATTGAAAGTAGAATTGGGAAGAAATGCACATAACTGGCCCCAAGCTGTACAAGCTGGCTCCAGACCACTTCCTATGACCCAGCAGCTCCACTTCTGAGTACACACCCAAGAGAAATGAATGGTAATATCCACAAAAAGATGAATTCTATGAGAAAGTTCTTAGCAGCTTTATTCCTATCAGACACAGTCTAAAAACAATCAAGAAAAGATGAAAGGATAAATAAATCATGGTGCATTCATGCAATGAAATACTGTTTAGCAAGAACAGACAATGAACTGATACAACAGCATGAATAATCCTCAGACATGGCATGTTAACTGAGCCAGGCACAAGAGTGCACTCTGTATGGTTGGTTCCATTTACATGAAAGTCAGGAATGAAAAACTAATCAGTGTAGGAATCAGATGGCAGCTATTTCTGGGATTTCTCAATTGACTTTTGGAGTGGAGACAAGGTAAACTTCTGGGGCGATGGAAATATATTTTATCTTGAGCAGCCTATGTAAGTGTGTATATTTGATAAAAATTCACCAAGATGTTCACTTACATGTAAAGTCACCTCACTAAAGTCCTTGTTGACAGTGATTTTGCCTCATTTAAAAAAAAAAATAGGCGTCACAAATTTTTAAACAGTCATCTAGAGAAGGATGGAGGAAACTAGGAAATGACACCATTAAAAGCTAGATTTGGAATATACCTTGTCTTGTAGGTTTGATTTTGGACTCATGGGAATAATTTACATAAAATATAGACTAAATTAAATCAAAATTGAAAGAGACAATTCCTTAAAGTCAAAATAAAATGTTTTTAACTGTGTATTGATTTGGTGGCCAACCAAGAGGAATTATTTCAAGAGATTTTTTAAAATTTAATTAATTTTTTTTCACTGCTGTGGGTCTTCATTGCTGCATGCAGGTTTTCTCTAGTTGTGGTACATGGACTTCTCATTGTGGTGGCCTCTCTTGTCATGGAGCTTAGGCTCTAGAATGTGAGGCTTCAGTAGTTGTGTAGTTGTGGCACATGGGCTTATTCGCTCCAAGGGATGTAGGAGCTTCCTGGAGCAGGGATTGAACCCATGTCCCCAGCATTGGCAGGTGAATTATTTACCACTAAACTACTAGGGAAGCCCCTCAAGAGATTTTTAACAGAATAAAATGTTAGTAATAACATTGGTATTATTATTCTGAAATTTTTAGCTACATATAAAGTAAGTAAATAAGTAATTATGTTAATGTTAATAGAAGCCAAGAATTTTACCAGAAGAGACAAAGAGATGCAAACACAGAATTTAATAATGTAGTAAACATTTTATAGTCTTAAATTTGAGTGGAAAATATTAGTATGAGCTGCTGATACATTTTTTCATTTTGAAAGTCTGTTTCCTAGTTCTGCCCACTGAAAAGGCCTAGAAAAAATGACCAGTCACATGGAATGTGTGCCCTCAGTGCCAGCTTGGTCCCTTAATCCTATTTCCCACTAACGGGAACCAGGGCTTCTTGAGGAGATGGATGGTTCAGGTCTGAGGCAGACAATGTACATGATCAACCTGGAACTTCACAACATACCTGAAATTCCTGGAGTCATGTCAAAAGGACTCACAGCCAACCTGTCAAGGCTCTAACTAACCACGTTTGGGACAATTTAAACATGAAAATGGAAAAGAATTAAAACATGTGAATCATGTTCAAAATTCATAATATTCATAATGATGCTAAAAAAATTCCAACCCCAAACCACCATTGAATGATACTGGGAAACCAACTTACTGTTCTGAATATAGGCAAGTGAACATGTTATCTGCTTTCGCCATATGAACTGAATTTCAAACAGTAGTGAAGGAGATGTTTCTTTTTATAGAAGCATTCCAGTCAATAATTAAGGAATGTCAACATTTGACAAGTCCTAAAAGAAATAATGGTTCTAGGCAAGGGTGATAGTATTAGTTCCTGGGGCTACAATAACAAAGTACCATAGACTGGGTAGCTCAAAAAAAGAAATTTAATGCCCCTCAGTCCTGCAGTTGAAAGTCTGAAATCAAGGTGTTGGCAGAAACATGCTCCCTCTCAAACTCTACAAGAGGATCCTTCCTTTCCTATTCTATCTTCTGGTGTTTGTTGGCAAACCTTGTCATTCCTTGGCTTGTAGATATAACACTCTGATTTCTGCCTTTGTGGTTGCATGACCATCTCCTCCTTGAGTCTGTGTTCAAATGTTCCTCCTCTAATAAGTGCTGGGTTAATGTGGGTCTCATTTTAACCTGAATTACCTCCATGGGCATGAAGTTTAGGATTTGAACATATCTTTTGAGAGGGATACTATTCAATCCTAGTCATCAATGGCAGTTAGGATCACAGAGTGAAACAGGACATTATCTATTATTCCAAAGAATTAGACCCAAATCAAACCAAGTCTAGATCTAACTACCAATTTACAGGAAACAGAAGGGATGGAAGAGCATGCTAAAAAACTCCACAGGTGTATAATCTGTGAAGTCCAGAATGTGGGAAATTCTGCAGGACAAATGATTTGGTTTCCTCAACAAATAAATAAGGAGGTAAAAACAGAAACAGAACCTTTAAATAATTATGAACATAGTAGACATAGCAACCAAATCCCATATATAGCTCTTGCCTGGAAATCTGAATACTTACTAGATAGTTAATGATATAGAGGGGTTACTGGCAAGTTTTAAAAAACTTATCTTTAAATGAGACTCTACTATATAGCACAGGAAACTAAATTCAATATCCTGTGATAAACCATAATGGAAAAGAATATGGAAAATATATATTTGTATAGCTGGATCATTTTGCTGTATAACAGAAATTAATACAACATTGTGAATCAACTATACATCAATAAAATAAAATTAAAATTTTTAATAAAAACATATCTTAATGGTATGGTGATAATGTTTAAAAAAAGAGAGAGTTCTTAATATAAGAATACATAACTTCAGGGACTTCCTTGCGAGTCCAGTGGTTAAGACTCTGTGCTTTCACTGAAGGGGGAACAGGTTCGATCTCTGGTCAGGGAACTAAGCTATCACTTGCCTCCTAGTGCAGCCACAAACAAAAAACAGCAAAAAACAAACAAAATGAAAAAACATGCTCTCAAATAAAGCAACACGATGTTTGGAAGATGTCAGGAGAGTGGGGGATGGGTTAGGTACAAAACAAGATTAGCCATGTTAAATAATGAAGCTTGGTGTTGGGTACGTGGGAGTTCATGATACTGTTTTTTCTATATGCTAAAATTTTTCAGCATATACAATTATAAAAATAAAATGCAGTACATTAATTCAGTGTTTCTCAACTTGAGGCAGTATCAGAATCTATTTTCTGAAGATTCTTCCCTTCCCCAGAAGTTATGCCTCGTTCTTGCAGAGAAATTGGTGTTGAAAATATTTACACTTCAGTAAAGAGTATTTTTGTAAAGAAGTTAGACTATCATAGGATGAAGTTAAGTTATACATTTTTTTATACATTTTTGCAGAATGTGTATGTTCAGGCTTTCAACTATTTTTACTCATCTTTTAGTTCAATGAATATCCAAAAAACTTCTGCCTCACATCTTCCTAAAATTTGAAATTATTGTATATATTGGGAATCTGATTTCAAATTCAGATGAATTTATATCTCCCTAACATTTTTCATTTTTTACTTATACTCAGGCTCTGGCTTAAATGCTACCTCCCCGGCTCCATCAATTTCCCTGATTCCCCTCTAACTGGAAGTAATCTCTCTCTCCTCATAAAGTGATCTTACGTACTGTTTTGTTCCTCTTTCATCTCTTCCTACTTGCTAGCATTATTTTACTACTATTTATATATCTATTGGCTTCCCAGGTGGTTCAGTGGTAAAGAATCTGCCTGCCAAGCAGGAGACTCGGGTTCGATTCCTGGGTCTGGAAGATCCCCTGGAGAAAGAAATGGCAACCCACTCCAGTATTCTTGCCTGGAAAATTCCACAGACAGAGGAGGCTGGTGGGCTATATATAGTCCCTGGGGTCGCAAAGAGCCGGCTGAGTGACCAAGCCACCATCTCCCTTCCCCAAACTCACTGAGATTTGCTGTTCAGTATACTTTTCTAGGATACTGAGTTTCTCTTTTCAAAATCATCCATTGCAGCTTGAGTAATGATGGAGAAGTTTTGTTTTTTGGAAGCTCCTGTGTAGCTGACAAAAATACTTTTCAGCAAGGAAGGAATTTTTTAAAATTCTTTTATTGTAAGAGTACTAAGTGTATACACAAGGTAAAAAAGAAAATCTAAAACGAGCCAAAAAGTCAGATCACTCCTCCTGCCCTAGTTCTACTCCCCAGGGCCTCCGCTATTCCAAGTTTCTTGTGAATCGCTCTACACATTTTTTCTAAGCATATACAAAAATAAATGCTATTGGACCTTACTGCAAGTACTATCTGTTGGGGTTTTTTTTTTTTCACCTTGCAGTGTACATTAGAGACCTTAGCAGCAAATACAGAATCTCTTTTTTGTTGTTGCACTACATGGAAATCTCATCATTTATTTCAGTCCCCAGTTGGCAGCATTTTTTCCCAGTTATTTCCTCTTACAGATAATATTGCAATGCACCATCTTGTACACACAGAGAAAAGGAATTTTGTTGAAAATCTGCATTTCTGAAGGAAACCCCTCCTTCATTCTTTTAGCTGGGGGCAGGAAGCACCCTGTGGTATGAAGCAATCGCTCGGCAAACCTTCCAGACCTGACGGTATCACCTTGTGATTCCCCAGCGGCTGGGTGGTCAGGAGTGTGCCTGGTTCCCTAGAAAAGAAGACGCCAGCACCCCCGGCTCTGTGGTTGAAAGCGGATGTCCGTGAGTCCCCTCATGTTTGACGCCCCAGCCCGGGAGAGGTGAAGCCTCGGCATCGTGTAGTTAGGTAAGTGTGCTGGCTTCAGAGGGGTGGGGCTGAGGCATGTTAGATGCAGACTCACCTGCATGCAGCAGTGGTTCAGTTGGTGGTGTGTTTAAAGTTAAGACACTAAATGCTAATGTAGACAATGTCTCTGAGACCAAGAGCAGTCAGTACTGTGTCCTCTCTGAGAACAGCATTTTGTGTGGGTGACAGAGTAAGCTTTTATTTTAGTTCATTCTTTTAAAAAAAGAACAACTGTGGCTTGTGTTTAATCCTCTGGAAGTCCTCTGTGTCAGCGAGCCCTTTCTTTTCATGTGGGCATCTCTTGCCAGAAATCGGAATTTCCTGGCAGAGAAGAAAGGCAATTTGAGTAACCCGGACACAGACAAATACACTTCACTTCAACAAAGCTTTTCAGGTGTCACTGAAGATGTGTGAGAAACCAGATAAAATGCTATAGAAAATGCTCTTTTAAAAAAGTATTCTCCAGTTGATGGCTTTAATGAGGCTCTTGCTTCTCATCTCAAACTGGATAAGTTCAGGCCGAGGATTCACTGAAGAGGGTTTTGTTGACCACAGGGAAAGGGTTGGGGATATAGTCAACATCTCAGTCCAGACTGTGGGGCTTCCTTTCCAGCTTAGACAATAAGATCAGGGCTCAAAGCAAAATGCATATGACTTGATTTGTTTCTCCTCTTTAAAAAAACAATACTTTTGGTGTCTGTTATTTGAAAAGTAGATAAAAAGTTTGTTGACAATCTCTCCCTGAAGAGTGGAATTGAACAATTCCAATTTTGGAATTGTTCCTCATTGCTCTTAACTACCTTGGTGAAATTTGGCTGATCTACAGTTATTCAAAGATAAGCATATGTTTGTTGGGAAGGGAGCAGTAAAGTGCTTGCTCATCTGACAAGTCTGAAGTTTCCATAATGGCATTTGGCTTCACAACAGGGGATAGTAGGAAAGCGTTGCTCTAGTGGAACTTGAGGTGTGGATTCAAGTGAGGGATGAGATTGTGGGGAGAGGGTTGAGTCTGGGGAAAGGGTGGAGGTCCTTTGAGTTCTCAGAGGAGATGCAGGATGAGCTGGTTAAAAGTAGAGGTCAGTTCTGTACTATAATGATGTAAAGTAATTAGCCTCCAACTAATAAAAATAAATGGAAAAAAAATAAATAAATAAATAAAAAGCTTAAAAAAAAAAAAAAGAAGAAGTAGAGGTCAGTTCTGTTTGAAAAAGTGGTAAAGCATTAACATCCAAGCAAAGTAAACCAAGAGGAAGAGAGCTAATGAAGGTGTGGTGCTGGGTAGGGGGTATGGACCAACCTAGGATGTGCTGGTCTCAGGATAACCTGGGCACAGGGCTCTGCACATTGTCTCTGCAGGTTCCCAGGACTGAGGGTCAGAGGCTTTCATACACAGCGCCCAGGGAAACCAGTCTCCAGGTCTCATGGGCTCCAGTAAGAAATCTGTCAGAGACCAAGGGGTTAGGTCCTAATTGAGAAGGACCCTCATTCTCCAGGCATTCATCCAGGGAAGCTTTCTGTACGCTGGCTCCCTCCCCGTCTCCCCCACCGATGGTGTCCCATTTCCCATCACCTGTCCAGTCTCCCTGAACAGCTTTTACAATCTGAACTAGTTCGGTTCCAGAGAGAAGCGTTTGTTAAGCATTCATTAGCTTGTAAGATTTTTTTTCACTCTGTGAAATTCTTTCAAGCTTTTTGACATTGTCAAGTGCCTGGATGATTGGGTTTGAACAGCTGTGATCTTCAGCTGTCTGAAAACCTGTAATGCCATCCCTGTCGAATGTAGATTCTAACTCAGGAATTATTTTAGTCAATAAGAGGAAATATTGGAAAGGGGTATAGGGTCTCCCCTTCCTGCCTTTGGGGCCTGTAAGTTAAGACCTGTTCTTTCATGTAAGTGACTGCTAGTCAATCTGGATTCTAGTTTCTCTAAACAGATCAGTTTCCTAGAGAGGTGGAATAACAGGGTGCCTTGCTTAGGAGTCAGGAAACTGGGGTTCGGCATTGTTTCCACCACTAATTACCCCACGTGCCCTGTGGCAAGTCCTTCAGTATTCCCCTTAAATAAAGATGAAGGAGTTGAATTAAGATGCACAAAGATTTCAATAATCCTAAAGGAGGGGCTGAACTGATGAGATTAAATCTTAAAAAGTTGGCTGCAAATATAGATGCTGGGAAAAAGCTAACATTGCTGTTCCTTTTGAAAAGGTTTAGTACCCCTGAACATGAAACAGGAGTGAGTTGTGGCTACCAGTATAGTTCACATTTGCACGGAGCTTCCATAGAAACTCAACTTCCAGAATAAGGTCAGAGGTCAGAGTTCTGCTGTGCTCTGTTCTGACCTGGCAATGACACCACCTGCCTCCTGTTTCACATCTACCTCCAATACACCCTCCAACTTAGAAATCAGAGTCATTGTTCTTAAAAACTAAATTCGATTGTGTTACCCTCCTGCTTACAGGCCTTCAGGAGTTCCCTGATGCCCTCAGAATAGTCTCACACCATGGCCTTCATGATTTGACCCCTGTTGATCTCAAGCCTATCTCTCATCCCCCACTGACCCACAACTTTCAACCCTTAGTCTTGTAGTTCCAAACCACAAGCAGTTCCCAGAACTGGTCTCCTGTCTCTCTCTCCCCTCTCTAGAGTGCAGTTTCCAGCACACACACACGCCTCTCCACCTGTCAGCTTCCCCAGCCTCTGGGCTTTCAGAGTCCGCTGGGTTTGCCCCTGTCATAGCACTTCCCACACTATATTGCAATTCCTTAGGAGTACTCCACCCTCCTATCCCAAGACAGTGAGCTCCTCAAGACAGAGACTATGCTTTTTCTATGCATTCTCAGCATCTGCTGTCTTCACAGAAGGCACTCAGGAAATATTCGGAGAATCAACAGAGGCTGGGGGAACAATTGACAAACCAAGTGTACTCAGAGAAGAGTAATAAGGATGCTGAAGGTGGTAGAAATGAGGTTGAATGTCAGTTGAGGAAGGTGGAATGGTTTAGCATGGAAAAGAGAGCATCAGAGCTCACCTTCATGCCAGGACTGACTTGGAGAGTGGGATGTGATTTACTCAAGCCTCTCCAGAGGGCAGGGTTAGATTCTGGTGGGAGCAAGGCAAACATGGTACAATGTAAACGGCAGCAGTGGAGACTGCAATGAGACTGTTTAGGTACATTTGGTGGAGGAAGGATACCCTGCAGACAAAAGATAGCTTCTTGGTGACTTAAAGAGCCTCCTGGCTCTGAAGGGCCCCAGCACTGTCTCAGGAGTGTAGCTAGAAGGATACTTGTGTTGGGTGAAGCATTCACCCCAATAATATTGAACATAGGCTGTAAGATCTGCAAGCACTGAAAGTTCTAAAAGTCAGTGATTCTCTCATCTAGGCCAGAAGACCACATGCTTTACAAAACTGAACAGACATTCTAATTCCTGACTTCTCTTCTTTAACAGCTTCAGCATATTTTACCTATTCCAAATCCACCCATGATGCCAGGTCCACTTAGTTTTTCCACTGGGGAAGGGAAGAGCTGCACAGAGATGTTATATAACCTGCCCCAGTTTTTGCAGGATACTAAGAGACAGAATCTTAATAGGAAACAGAACTCCCAAGTCCAAGGCATTACAGCAGATGGCTTTTCCAGGTCCCTGATGACTTCACAGGCCAAGTTGGCCTATGAAGTTTCATATTTCTTACCATTTTGCCTTCATCCTGCATCTAAGTTCAAGAACACATCATGGCAGAGTGGCGATGGAGATGGACTCAAGAACCAGATTTCCTTTGTGACCTCAGACAAATCACTTCCTCTTTCTGTGACTCAGTTTCCTCATCTATAAAATGGATGTAAAAATAGAATTAACCTTATAGAGTTGTAAGGATAAAATGAGGATACAGAACATGGATATACTTAATAAGCATTACCTAGTGTTATTAGTACTGGATGAGGACAAGACTTGGCAATAAAGACAATTGATTTCTCATTTTGGTGCTAAAGGTACAGGGTAGTGGCCTTAAGCTGTTCTCTGCACCTCGTCAGAAGGTCCTCAAAGCTTCCGCTGAGAGCCTGAATGGGGTGTAAAGGACCAGAGATGACAACCATTGGCAAAGAAGAACCAGATTGGGGTGGGGTGGGCTGAGCACCTAGCTGGAGCTCATCTGCTGCTGTCTGTGGTCCTGAAACAATTTGTTAATTATCTAGAAAAATGAGGGTGTGGTGGGGTTTGCACCCACAGCCTCCCTTCCCAACAGTTGCCTGCTTATGGATAGTCCACCCACAAAATGGAGTTTGGATAAATTATCGATAACCTTTTAATCATTCGTTTCTTTTTCTCTGAAGACAGGTAATTCATGTCTTCTGATGTGTTCACAGGGATGTTGTCAGTTTACATACCATCCATGTATAAAATACCTCCCCACCTGTTGCCTGTCTGAGGGACACAGTCAGAAAGGGGCAACAGAGTGGAAACAAAAATATCTTACACTCTGAGCTCCTTCACTACTGAGTTTCTGTGGGCTTGAAACTCCAACCCTGCTGAAGGCACAGCCCAGCTTTCACCTGACAGAGTCCCAGGGGCCTCATACAGGTTTTAGTGACAATTCAAGTCTTTCTGCAGAGAAGACAATGGCACCCCACTCCAGCACTCTTGCCTGGACAATCCCATGGACGGAGGAGCCTGGTGGGCTGCCGTCTATGGGGTCGCTAAGAGTCGGACACAACTGAGTGACTTCACTTTCACTTTTCACTTTCATGCATCAGAGAAGGAAATGGCAACCCACTCCAGTGTTCTTGCCTGGAGAATCCCAGGGACGGGAGAGCCTGGTGGGCTGCCGTCTTTGGGGTCGCACAGAGTCGGACACGACTGAAGCGACTTCGCAGCAGCAGCAGTCTTCCTGAGGCTGGGGTCAGAGCCACGCTTTCCTTTGCAGGTGGCCTGCATCGACCATCACCGCCTCTGCCGGTGCTGATGCTGCACGTCCTTTGTGGTGCCCATCTGGGATGGGGC